ATCTTGTGCTCAGGGCTAGGCCTGATTCACTGGCTGAGAGGAGGAGAGAAAACCTTCGTCCACCCTGGACTAAAGCAGATGGTCACACAAACAGGCCAGGACTAGTGCAGAGATGAGGCATCGATCTGACTCCTACAGATATAGGAAGAGTCTGGCTGCCACTGGGTAGAGGCAGGCTTGCTGGGAAAGTTTCACCCAAATCCCTAAGCATAGGCCTGCCCAAGAGTTAGGCCAAACAGGGGAACTAATAAAGTACCACCATTAGAAACCTGTTTCAAGTAGAAAGTAGACAGACTCCTCCCTAGGCCCATAAGTATAACAGTCCAGCCCCAGGGCTGACTGGACTGATTCAACTTCCCAGGTGCATAGCAGGGTAAACAGTCTCAGTTGTGTTGCTCTCTAGGCATTATCTGGCAGTCTACCAAACAGAACAAGTGAAAAAGAAACCAAGAACCAACATTTCAGGAAGAAGTGATAATGCTAATTCTACATAAACTCTTCTAGAAAGGAGAAGAAAACAGAAGCACACCTTAACTCATTTTATAAGACCCTGAAGAACACTAAAGATAGCAAGACTACAGGCTGACATGCTTCTTGAGCAGATGCAAAATCATTAACAAAAGTCATGCAGATCAGTTGAGCAACATGTAAACAGGCTGACCACAGAAAGACTTGTACAAGAACATTCACAGCAGCTTCAATTCAAAACAGCCCAAATCTAGAAGTAACACAAACCTCTACTAATTAATTAGTAAATGGATAGACTAGCTAGCCATACAATTTATTCAAAAATAAAAAAGAAACTATTGATACAACAATATAGGTGACTCGCAAAAGCATTATGCTAAATTGTAAAAGTTTATGTGACATTCTGGATGAAGTAAAATCATGGGGACAAAAGTCAGGTCAGTGGTTTAAAGGGGTTGTGGAAGTGGAAGAGCACAGATTACCAAAGAAAACAGCGAACTTAAATGGGGTGATTCATACGTTCTGTATCTTAATTGTGCTAGTAAGTTTTTTGAGAATTATTTTATTTAATTTTATTTATTATTATTATTATTATTTGTTTTAATTTGACCAGAAAAAGAGACAGAGAGAGAGAAAGTGAGAAAGCACACTGCCAGGTCCAAGACTCAACCATGGTCAGCCATGTGGGAGTCCAGAGTCTTTAACCACCATGCCACCTGCTGGCCCTGGTAGTGAATTTTTTTAAAGTAAAAAAGGCAAAGATGGAAGCCAGATGGTGGCATGGTGGTTAAAGTGGCTGGATCCCAAATAGCCAACAATGCAGTTTAAGTGCTGAACTCTGCAGCCTCACTGATCTCCTTAAAATTGGATTCAGCATATTCATGAAGGTGAGCTGGCTTCATCCCAGTGACCACCCCCTCCTGATCCTCCTCGTGATGGGCAGGGTCAGTCTCTGAAGACCTCATGGCATCCCTGAAGCCAGGAGCCCAGGTGACAGGGATGTCCACATGACTCCTGAAGCCACATAATGTGCCTGAGCTGTTTTTTGCAACTGACCACCTGCATCCAGACCTTGGCTTTTGAGTATCTACCAAGGAGATGACCTGCCTGAGCTGCAAATAGGAGTACCCACTCTGTTTCTGTCAGCATTCCTCATGGCCTCCCAAGTCAGTGTTGCTCCCGATTGTGGTGTGACAGTCCTGCGCAAAGGGCCTTGATAACCAGGCAACCAGGGCCTTCACTTGGATTGTTTCTACTATTTAAAAGACAAAAAAAAAACCCAAAAAACAAAAAAACAAAAAAAAAACACAACAACAACAAAACCTCTTTTTACAAATTTTTCTAAGATGTCAAGTTGTCTTTCAACTGGCCTAATTAGTGATAACTTCCACTCATTAAAAAATAAGAATAAAGGGGAACCAGCAGTTAGCATAATGGCTATGTCGCTGGACTCCCACGTAGTCAACCGTGGTTCGTGTCCCAGACCCGGTGGCTTAAATCTCACGCCGGGCGCGTGTGCGTGCATGCCCAAGATCCCGAGAGGAGAATGGAGGAGAAGGGATTGCGGCGTGACCATCCCCCCTGGGGGGTGATTTCTCGCTTTCTGTCTCTATGTCTCTCTCTGTCTGTCTGGCAAGCGCACGCGCCCTATAGCAAAAACCTCTCCAAAAAAAAATAAAAGAATAAAAAAGAAATAAAAGAGGGAACCAGCAGTTAGCATAATGGCTATGTCGCTGGACTCCCACGTAGATGACCGCGGTTCACGTCCCGGACCCGGTGGCTTAAAACTCACGCCGGGTGCATGTGCGTACGTGCCCAAGATCCCGAGAGGAGAATGGAGGAGAAGGGATTGCAGTGTGACCATACCCCCTGGGAGGTGAGTTCTCACTTTCTGTCTCTCTGTCTCTGTCTCTCTCTGTCTGTCTGGCGAGCGCACGTGCCCTATAGCGAAAACCTCTCAGAAAAAAAAAAAAAAAGAAAGAAATAAAAGAAAAGAGCGGGGTGAATTTTATTGAATGTGAATTATTTTTTTAAAAGTCAGCCATTTTTTTTAAAGATTGTTGCCATAGGGTACATAAACTCTTCAGAAAGAGACAAAGGGAGTGAGAAATCACCTCTCAGGAGGATGGCCACACTGCAATTCCTTTTCCTCCATTCTCCTCGAGATTTTTGGCAGGTATGCACGCATGCCTGGCATGAGATTCAAGTCCAGGACTCAAATCATGGTAAGCCATGTGGGAGCTCAGCACCTTAACCACTATGCCACTGGCTGGCCCCTCAGCAAATTTTAAGTTTGCTATAGTGTGTGGGCATTCACCAGAGATACAGAGAGTGAGAGAGAAAAAGTGAGAAATCACCCCAGGAGGGAGGGATGGCTACACCACAATCCCCTCTACTTCATTCTTCTCTTGAGCATGCATACATATGCTCCGTGTGTGTGTGTGTGTGTGTGTGTGTGTGTGTTAAGCTTTTGTCATGTGTGCTTGCCCGAACTGGAGGTGGGGGGATTGAGAGAGAGAATGAGAAATCAACCCCCTGGGGAATTGCCACACTGCAATCCCTTCTTCATTTTCCTCTCAGGATTTTGGGCATACATGCACACACGCCCAGCATGATTTTTTCAAGCCACTGGGTCTGGGACTAGAACTGCCGTTGGCCATATGGGAATCCAGTGCCTTAACCACCATGCCATCTGCTGGTCCCATTACTCATGGTGTGTTTTTCAAGACACTGGGTCCAGGACTTAAACTGCAGTTGGCCATGTGGGCTTTAGCCACCTTAACCTCTGCACCACCTGCTGGCCCAAAAGGCCAACTTTAAACCAACTCCAACAAAGAAATCAACTTACAAAAAAGAAACAGATGTTCTAAGTCCACAAACACAGGGCAGCATTATACCTTTGTAGTCCCCACAGTCACTGTTTTTGGTAAGGAAAGACTCATTTGACAGATAATCCATCACCAAGACACAATGGGAGTCAGCAAATGGGGACCCCCCTCATCAAGCCCAGACACGTTCTGGGGAGCCATGGGGGTAATCACAAGCATTCTTGCTTGCCTCTGAACCAAAGGAACAGCAGCTCTTTTGCAAAAGCACAGGCAGGCTAATATATAAGAATAGGGCTGGAAGAGGAAAAAGAAATAACAGGTAAAAAAACACACACACACAAAAAAGGCAAAGATATGTTTTAATCAGTGGTAAGATTTAAACTTCATTTGCCAAAAAAACTCATATACTAAAACTGGGGAAAAGATCAAATACTTTAAGTAGACAGAGAAAAGTAAACACGAGAAAAATAAAGTAACACAAATAAAAGCAAAAATATCTTAGAGAGAGAAAATATTAGATTTATCATGCTGTCTAACTGCTAATAAGGGGATTCCACAGTCTATTCATTCCTTTATTCATCCATAACTTACTCATTAATTCAAATATTTTGGGTACCTAATAAATGAAAGAGCAGATACTATTCTTACTAAAAAATACACAAAAGTAGCTGCCTTCTTGAAGTTTATATTCCAGTGACAAAGACAAACTAAATACATAATATATACAGTGTGTTAGAAATAAGTGGTAAGGAAGAGAAAGAAGTAAAGCGAGACACAGGGCAAGTGGGAGGAAGCTGAGAAGAAACCTGATAAGCAAGGAGACCCTAGTGTTAGTGACTAAAGCACCACTATACAGTGGCACTGCAAATGGGCTTCAAAACACTGGGTTAGTAGCTGGGCAGTAAGGAAACCTGAGAAAGGTAGAGACTCACACCATGTGACAGTGAGGTGCTCTTTAAACTGTCAAGGGGACTAACAAGAAAGCAGTACCACATAGATACCAGGAACAGCTACATGCTATATATGCTGATTCTTACTGGCTGCATGTAGTAAGGCCAAAGAAAGAGAACAGCTCAGAAAACAACTAGTGGTTTGCAAGCAGGAATTAAAGAGAAGAGAAGAGCCCTAGAGTGTGGTGTCTCAAATGATTTCAAAAGCCAACTCTGAGAACGCAAGTTGTAGATTTGAAAGCCTTTTGGAACAAGGGCTCATTAGGAATTCAATCTCGGTCTATTATCAGGTTAGAATGTGGCTTCAAGTCTAATGCCATAAGCTGAGACACCAAGTCAAAGAAGAGAGGGAAAAGCTAAGCCTTGAGAACTGCATCGGGGAAAAAAATTCAGATGAGTTAATAGTATGTGAATTGTCTAGAATTAAGCACATGAAAAGCCTACAAGCTTTTTGGGAAACTGTATTACCTAAGAAATCCTGAACCCAAACTAAGAATGCCTAGAAACACCCTTTAGGTCCTGACAGCTTGCCAAACAGGTTGTGTTTGGCCCTAGAGGGCAAGTGCCCTACTATGTACTATGTGGCCAGGGAAGCCTAACACTAATATTCCAGAGGATGAGCCAGAGCCAGAGGACAGTCCAGGTGGGAATGTGCCCCCTAAAGCAAATGCAAACCAGTTACTTTTACTGTCAGTTTGTACAACTTGTAGCAGGAGAAACAGATGACCCTGCACTCTCCTTGCTGGCCACTTACCCCAGGATGGTCAAGGCCTCCATGCCTCTCTTCCTTTTCCACGGTCCTACGGCAGTCTGGGCATACCCACAGTGGTAGATGCAGCACACTGTTGCCTTTGGGTGCCATGGAAAGGGCCAATTTGCTCGCAGTCTTAATTCCACTCTCTAAGAATGAAGAGTCTTTCCGTTCACTTCTGCACAGAAGACAGTAATCCCCAGCAGGGTAGGGTGGTGTCCTATGATTCATGCCAAAACTAAAAGGAGTCTGGAACAGAAAAAAACAAATCTATTTTCAAAACCTGATCCATGAAACTAAGACTTAAATATATATAGTTCAAAAATTAAAATTAAAATGTACACATGTTTATAGAAACAAAATGGGAAAATTGTAGAATAAAACTGAACTTAGTACTATAGAAACTCATAATACTTCAAATAACACAGTTATACCATAATAAAAATCTCAGGAGTTAGAACATGTCCAATTAACCCCTTCCCTGATAATTCTGCAATACTTTTCCCCTACATGGTAGAACCCATGAGTCTTGGGCTAGCCAGGATATGGTGGTCAAGGTGGCTAAATCTCATATGGTTGACTCCCTGATTCCAAGTCTCAGACCCAGTGGCTTGAAAAACATCCTGGCACATGTGTGCGTGCACCCAAAAATCCCAAAAGAATGGAGAAGGGATTGCAGCACGGCCATTAGGGTGTTTTCTCCTTTGCTCTTTACATCTCTCTCTGATGAGGGCATGCACCCTACAGCAAAAACAGACTATGAAAAAGCACTGGAATTGTTTACTATTAATAAAATTTGAAGACACTATTTTAGAGGTATCTGCACACAAAAGCTCATGCTCAAAGCAGCAACTTTGGCTTAAATGTATCTGCAGATCCAAACTATCTCTGAGGTGGGCTGTCCAAGATCTACATGCAACATAAACAATGGGGAATCTGACAGCAGTCTCACAATAATATAGAATTCACCTTCGACTACCTGCTTTTAAAAATAGTTCCTGGGAACCAGCAGTTAACTGCGTTTTGGCTATGTCGCTGGACTCCCACGTAGTCCACCGCGGTTTGCGTCCTGGACCCGGTGGCTTAAAAACTCACGCCGGGCGCGTGTGCGTGCATGCCCAAGATCCTGAGAGGAGAATGGAGGAGAAGGGATTGCGGAGTGACCATCCCCCCTGGGGGGTGATTTCTTGCTTTCTGTCTCTATGTCTCTCTCTGTCTGTCTGGAGAGTGCACGTGCCTTATAGCGAAAAACCTCTCCAAAAAAAAAAAATAGTTCCTAAATGGTGGGATGACGATGGGGTAAGGACCTAAGAGGTAGGAAGAAGAGACAAGAATACTAATAACTTAGATTATTTCAAAAAGATTATAAACTGTCCTATCAGAAAAATAAACAGTTAGCCTTAAAAACACAAAGGCACAGAAAAAGAAACCGAGTTTAGGTAACAGCCTAAACGTCCCAAAGCTAGCAAGCAGAGGGCCATGATTATAAAAAAAAATCTGCCTAACTCCAAGCTGGCCCTCCATTTAGTGCTATCTCTGCATTTTATGAGGAACCATCCTAAAGAGAGATTCAAGAGATGCATGTTGGGCAATAGGTTAGCAGGGAAGCCAGGCACAGCTTCCCAGAGGCAAATCCTGTTCTGCCTACACTCAGGGCCAGTACACACTGTGGAGTTCGGGAGGCAGAACACCCCATAAGTCTCTGCCATCAGGAATGACCCTGCTCCAGTACAAACTACGTGGTAAAGAGAAATAGTAACAAAGCTTTTCTGTTTTGTTTTGGTTTTTCACAAAATTTCCAGTTCCACTCAGACACCTCCAATGTCCAACTGGTCCTGCCCAGCCAGCTCCGTTCTCTTCCCTCAAGAGATTGGCAGATCTCCTTCTTCATCTTATCACCAACTCTCAAAGCAGACACAACTCTCAGAACACTGACACAAAGGCACTATAAACAACTGATAGCTTGCCAAAGGACCCCCAGGGCTCCATCTCTATAAAGTTCACACTGGTTGGCTGGTAGCAAGTAACCTAAATAGATAGGGGCCTGAATAAAAATGCCACTAAGACTCAAAAGTCTGTCATCTCGTAGCTTCATTCAGGAATTACAACTACCAAAGATCCTCTGCCCAGACTTCCTCCTCCTGCCCGCCAGATCTAGCCATGAGCCAGGACAAGGCAATCAGCAATCTATATTTGAGTTCTGAGCGGCCCCATTCAGGGATTACGACCATCGAAGATCCTCTGCCCAGACTTCACCCTCCTTCCCCCCAGATCTAGCCAGGAGCCAGCGAATACAAGGGAATTCATAGAAATGTCAGATAAAGAATTTAAAATATTCATAGTGACAAAGCTAACAGAGATGAAAGAGAAGAGAGACAACGAACACCAGAAGATGCAGGAGAGAAGAGACACCAAGTTCCAGGAGGTAAGTTCTTGAACGATCTGAAAGAGGAGATATACATCATAAAAAAAGAATCAAATGGAACTGTTAGAGATGAAGGCTGTAATACAAGGAAATCAAAACCTCCCTTGAAAATATCAAAAACAGATTAGATCATGCAGAAGATTGAATCTCTGACGTAGAAGATAGAACCTTTGACCAAGAAAAATTCACCAAAAAAACTGAGAAAATAAGACTACAAGAATGAGAATAACATACAAGCAATACTAGATAACATTAAACATCCAAACATCCGGATCATTGGTATCCCAGAAGGTGAAGAAACTAATAATGGTATTGATAATCTATTCCATAAACTCCTGGAAGAAAACTTTCTAAACCTAGAGAGGCACTCAGATATCCAGACCCAAGAAATACAAAGGACCCCACATAGAACTGACCCAAGATCATCTTCCCCCAGGCACATCATAGCCAGATTGAACAAAACCACAGAGACAAGATGCTAAATTTGGCAAGAGAGAAACATCAAGTTACTTTCAAAAGTTATTCCATAGGTTAACGTCAGACCTCTCATCAGAAACAATGCGAGCAAGGAAAGAATGGGAAAATATACTCAGTGTTGAGCAAAAAAAAATTTCAACCAAGAATACTATACCTAGCAAGATTACCCTTCATATGGGGAAAAAAAGACAAAAACATTCTCAGATAAACAAAACCTAAAAGAATTTACCAACATCAGACCAGCTCTTCAAGAAGTACTAAAGGGAGTACTATACCAGGAAAATTAAAATCAGACACACAGAAAAAAGAGTACAAAAAGCCACCTAGAGAATGGTCTGCCTAATGGTAGAGAGTAGTCCTGAGTTGAATGTTAACTTCTGGAGTTTAAATGGAAAGATCAGACCACAGTAACACTGCAAATACAACAGAAGAGAGATTAATTACATGAGTTTGAACCAGTGAAATAGAATATTTTTGACTTTAGACTAAAACATTACTGATTTTCTTTGATGCTTTGATTTCCATACTTAAGAATTTTTGTCTTTGGGGGACCAGCAGTTAGCGTAATGGCTATGTCGCTGGACTCCCATGTAGTCGACCATGGTTCGAGGCCTGGACCCAGTGGCTTAAACTCACGCTGGGCGCGTGTGCGTGCGTGCCCAAGCTCCCGAGAGGAGACTGGAGGAGAAGGGATTGCAGCGTGGCCATTCCCCCTGGGGGGGGATTTCTCACTTTCTATCTCTCTGTCTCTCTCTGTCTGCCGAGCACACGCGCCCTATAGCAAAAACCTCTCTCAAGAAAAAAAAAAAAAAAGAATTTTTGTCTTGGGGCCCAGCAGTTAGCGTAATGGCTATGTCGCTGGACTCCCATGTAGTCGACCATGGTTCGAGGCCTGGACCCAGTGGCTTAAACTCACGCTGGGCGCGTGTGCGTGCGTGCCCAAGCTCCCGAGAGGAGACTGGAGGAGAAGGGATTGCAGCGTGGCCATTCCCCCTGGGGGGGGATTTCTCACTTTCTATCTCTCTGTCTCTCTCTGTCTGCCGAGCACACGCGCCCTATAGCAAAAACCTCTTCAAAAAAAAAAAGAGACCATGTTGAAGCGCCTCTCTCCCTGTCTTCAACGTGAAAGAAGCAAATTTAATTTTTACCAATATATTTACTGCCAATGTCCTTTGTTTCGCCCTATAGTGAAAACCTCTCAAAAAATAAAAAAGAATTCTAAATTATGTTCTCTTTTTTCTTTCAATATTTTAAAGATGTCACTCACTCCTCTACCTTTTTGCTTACAGTGTTTCCCACAAGATGTTTGCTATCTGTCTTATCTTCATTTGTCCTATGTAATGTTACCTTTTGTCTGTGCTTTTCACTTTTTCTATTTTAATCACTGTTTTTTGAAAACGTCCCTTTATACAGTTTTTTGTGTTGCTGTTTTTTTTTCCAAGTTTCTTGTGCTTAAGCTTAAGGCTTAAGGCTTTCTGAACTTCTTGGATTTGTGGGCTTAAATAATTTTTTTACTGAATTCAAACATGTTTTCTTATCTCTCATACTCATTCTTATCTTCAGGGATTCTACATATACTACCCAACTTGGAACTGTCCAAAAACTAATTGATCCTACTTTTTTATTTTAAAAATTTCAGTCCTTTTCATTCTTGGTTCCCTTTTGATACTTTCTATTGACATCTCTTTGAGTTCACTAATCTTCTCTTCCACAGTATCTCATCTGCTGCTAAGATTCATTAAATGTATTTTTCATATCAGACATGTAGTTTGCAACACTGTAAGTTCAATTGGGATTTCTTATGTCCTGCATTTCATCTTACCATGCTCATGCCTTCCTCCACCTTTTGGAACATACGAAATATACCAAAACTATGTTAATGTGCTTATCTCCTGATTCTGTTTTGTGTGTCATTTCTGTGTCTGTTTCTGTTTATTGATCTTTCTCCTCATTATAGATCGTGTTTGTTTACCTCTTTGCATGACTGGTCAAAAAAATTTTTTTGTGGGGGGTCAGTAGGTGGCATGGTGGTTAAGGCACTGGACTCCCACTTGGCCTACCACAGTTCAAGTCTCAGATCTGGTGACTTGCTTTCTCACTTTCCCTCTCTCCCCCGCCCCATCTCTCTCTGGTAAGCATGTGTGCTCTGTAGGAAATTTAATAATAATAATGATAAATAAATATTAATCTATATTTTTAATTTGCTATAGGGTTCATGTACTTGACAGAGACAGAGAGAGAAAGCATCCCCAGGGATATGACCATGCCTCGATCCATTCTTCTCTATTCTCTCAGGATTTTGAACATACTCACATACACATACACCCAGCATATTTCTCAAG